ATTTATTAACTCCAGTGACTTAGGCATTTTGCCCTGTTAGTAGCTAAGTTATCCACAGAGGATATCTACATTTTGCAGCATTTAAGTCATCCATTCTGATTCACTAAGTCATGCCTGCACTTGGTATGGTTCCTCCTTTGCTAGCTTAGTGCAGGATCTGGAAGTGCCATTTATGGCTCAGCCCACTTGACTTTCCACGTCACTGATCCTCTAGTGAGCAGGCAGTGGAAGAAAGCTGCACTGCACATAAAGAACAGCTATAGCCAAGCAGAGTTAATCAAACTGTGGAAATTAGAATGATTTTTCCCCATGTCTCAGATTGGAAGAAGGAACATATGTTAGAAATAACCTGTTAAAATCAGTTTTGTCAAAAATGAGAAAGTTCTAGAAAATTACACATAAAGGCATTATTTCTCATTGAATAAGGGGTTCATATACTCTTTGCAGTGAACTGAAGACCAAAGAACCAAAGGGAAGGCCACCAGAAAGATGGACATCCTATGTTCTTGTCAAGAGCACACTTACTGTGGCTGCATATCCCAGTCCTCAGAAAGGAGTTACCACCTTCTTTCTTGATGGATTTTCCTGCTACCTATATGTCTGCAAAATGATATAGGGACCTCATGACCTAAGAAGGGATAGAAGTCCCGTTCTCATAAAAACTTGTCATTTTTGTTTACACATTCTCTAATAATTATTTAACTTTCTCAGTGGGTTATTTCAAACATGTGGGCTTGGAGGATGTTGGTGTATTCGTAAGAGAATACCACCTTTTATCCTATATCATATAAACTGTTTTCAGAAAGTAATGTAATTTAAACAAATTCTTTAACTTAAAAAAGTTGCATTTACAATTAAAAGAGTGCCATTATTCTCCAAATGTAAAAAAATGATACTGCTATTTTTTTTAGAACATTAGGGGTTGTTTGGCACTGTACTACTTACATGTTTTTATTCTTTAGTTTTTCTTATACCAAATATATACTGAACAACTGCTATACCCAGGAATGTACTAGAAACTGTGGATTAAAAAAAATAATAAATACAATTTTCTCTATCTGGGATGGAAATTATGAACCTTATAAACTGGTAATATTAAAATTAAATCATTTGTGTCCACCAAATATGATTTTAACCCTAGTTCTATCCCAAAATAACCACTACTTATATTGGCTGCAAATTAATGACCATAATGGTCTCATTATATTTCTATTTACTTTAGTATGGCCAACCAATGGTCAACAACAGAAAGAACTGCCCTTAGGCCTGGGTTCCCTTTACTTTAATAACAGACATAATAAGGCTTTTAAAATATTGAGCTAAGGAATATTCCAGGCAAATCAACAGATATGGCCTCATTATCTGTATGTCAGAAAGGAGCCCATGTTACCCTCTTGTCATAGCAGTACCCTTTCTCCACATTATATGAAAAATAATTTTCCTAGAGCCCCTGAATATAACTGACATAAAATGGGTAAAATAAATTATTTCATGAATTTCCATGTTTCTTAGTTTTAAGTGACCTATGAATCTTAGTGTTTCACCAACCAAATCAGAAATATCCTTTAAGTAAAATAAAAGCAAGTATAGTCATTCATTCAATTTTTAAAAGGCTACTCCATACCAAACCAATGCAGTGTGCAAATATGGAACTTAATTAAAATACTATATATATAAAATATTAACAGCTGCAGCTATTAAAATTACATTAAACTCCCTTGAGCTAGGCTAACATAATATGAGCTCTCTCTTTTTTTTTTTTTTTTTTCCAATTTAATAAAGGACAGAACTTGGCTTAGTGAATGAGCTTTGGTTTTTATATTGTTTGTTCCAATTCACTAATCTGAAATTTTAATCACATAAAAGTACTTTACCATCAAAACAGCACCAAGCATAGTAATTTGATCTTTCCATTGGATTCCAAGAAAAATTTCATGCTTTGTTTATTTTCTTTCTTAGATGCAAATAACACTTCCTTAGAATGTGTTTCTGTTCTTCCCATACAGAATTGAGCTTTGTAAATTAAAGTAGATATCATCTACTTTTGACCTTCTCCAATGAGGGTACAAATAGAGTAATTAATAAATTCTTGGTAATTTGGATGAATTAAAGAGCTTAGATAGAAAAAGTAGATTTTATTCTGCTTGAAGATTACAGTATTTATCTGAGAATTAATTAGATTGCATCAATACTTTCTCCTTATAATAAGAAACCTCATAAAATATTCAAAATAATTTTGTTTTCTGTGAGTATGTGTATATGCGCATGCGTGGCGTATATGCATATATGCATATATATACACACATATATATGCACATATACATGTAGAGAGAGACATATGCACACATATATAGACACACATACAATTTACATAGAAGAAAGACTGGAAAGAAATATCCAAAAATATAAATCATTGTTTTCAAATGAATAATGAATACTTTCTTTTTTCTTTTACATCATTTTGTATTGACTAGTATTTTGAATTGATCATGTATTACATTAATATAGTTAGATAATACCTCATTTCTAAGTGAATGAAAAGCAACTGATTTGATGTTTGGTGTTTTTTTTCTCCTCTGAACTTTCAGAAGATACCCTTTTAATCTGATATGGGTTGTTTTGTCTTGTTTTGCTGTTTTTAGACAAGGTCTTGCTCTGTTGCCCAGGCTGGAGTGCAACGGTATGATCATGGCTCACTGCGGCCTGGAACTCCTGGGTTCAAGCGATCCTAAATGTGGGGATTACAGGTGTGAACCACTACTCTTGGAATGTTTTGTTTTAAGGTATTATAAAATTTGACTTAAAATATCTCTTCTTGAAAGTCATTTTCAAAATTTTATTCTAGATCTATCTTAAGTCAAATTATAGCATCCACAAGCTAGTATTTCAAAGCACTAGATTAGCCCATGCCCCCACCACATTAAAATTCTTCTGCTTGAAAGTTCATATGTAACAAATTAACTGCTATCTCTGGCAGAGATAGGCTGGAGGGAGTCAGAGGGGAACACTTATCATTATTGTTATATTTTTGCATTCCCATCAATGAACTCTTGTCAGCTTAAATCAGAAAGAAGGAGAAAGAGGAGGAGGAGGAAGAGGGGGGGAGGGGGAATTGGAGGAGGGGAAGGAGGAGAAGGAGAAAGAGAAGAGGAGGAGGCAGAGGAGGAGGAGGAGGAGGAAGAAGAATAATAATAAATGGTAATTTAATTCTTTGTAGACTTCTTTAGGAAAGTGAGAATATTTAGGGAGACAAAGTTTCCAGAGAGGAATGAATCAGACACACAGTCTCCGATATATCTGGGAATCAGAGCAATGGGTTCTGACCTTCCTTCTCTCCACACTCACTCCCAACTCCTTCTCAATTTCCATATATTCTATTTCTTTATTTTGTTAGCTAAAAATCATATTTCCAAACAGGCAAGCACAATCTTCTTGATCTATAAACAGCAGAACAAAAAAGCAGGGATAAGAGGAAAGTAGAAAATAGTTCAGCTGCAGAGAAACTGGGAGTAAACAAGCACCGAGGGAGCCCATGCAAGGAGGGTATGAGCAAGAGAGTTCAGCCCCAGGTCTTCAACAGGGCCCTTCCGAAAGACGATGGTTATCACAGATTATATACAGATAAAAGAAGCATTCAGCTTCTTTTAGAGTTGGCTGGGGGTGGGTGAAGTAAAGAAGGAGAGTAGAGGGGCCGGGCGCGGTGGCTCAAGCCTGTAATCCCAGCACTTTGGGAGGCCGAGATGGGCGGATCACGAGGTCAGGAGATCGAGACCATCCTGGCTAACACGGTGAAACTCCGTCTCTACTAAGAAATACAAAAAATAGCCGGGCGAGGTGGCAGCGCCTGTAGTCCCAGCTACTCGGGAGGCTGAGGCCGGAGAATGGCGTGAACCCGGGAGGCGGAGCTTGCAGTGAGCTGAGATCCGGCCACTGCACTCCAGCCTGGGCTACAGAGCGAGACTCCGTCTCAAAAAAAAAAAAAAAAAAAAAAAAAAAAAACCAGAAAAAAAGAAGGAGAGTAGATAGGTCTAAATTTAGTTATCTTCTATTATAAGACCATTTGATTTATGTATGAGTAGGACAATCAGAGCATGGGAGCCCGGGGTGAAGAGAATTAAAGAAATGTAGTTGCATACTTAAAACAGATTTCTCTCTCCCTCTCATCTCTCCCTCTCTGTCTGCCTCTTTCACCCTCTCTTCTCTCTCTCTTCCTCCCTCCTTCCCTCTCTTTCCCAGGATTCCCACAAATGTCATTTCTGTTGCCTGGATGATTCTTTCCCCTCAAAGCTCATAGTATTCAACATACTGAGCCCCCTAAAATACTCCCAAATTTCGCTGTAAGTGTGATGTATTCGGGGAAACTTTACCTGCCACCTTTACCCCTCCTCCCTGAGAGAAATAAAGTGCAGCGACAGGAAGCAGAATGTTTGCTGGTGGAATTCCAAATACCTTTCATCAGAAAGGGAAGCAGTCTGGAAGGGCAGCAGAGCTTTGCCACTGTCCTTGAAATGCTACTCTATTGATTAAAGTGTTTTTAATACCATAGACTCATGCTAAAGTGTTCTGTACCAAACTAAGGATTTTGTGTCTGGATCATTCTGATTTTTTTTCATATGTTATATTTGCCACTTTGAGTACCTGCAAACATCCAGTAACATAAGGGAAAACTGGGAATACAAAAACTTTGAATTTTTTCACTTGCTAAATTCAAGACAAAATTTTCTGCAAGATTTGGCATTTGATTACCCAATAAAAGTTCATTTAAGAAGCTATTCTAGGAGACATTTGAGCATTTGGGCTTTGATGCCCCACTATGATGATGAATTAGCTCTTTCTGATTTTTATATGGCGTGAAACAGAAGCAATATCAGGCAATTTCTTTTACTCTAAAGAAACAAATGCAGGAAATCTTTAATATGTCTTGGTTTTCACTTTTAGGAATGGCACGGGTGGGTGGGGTGCTCCGGCAGATAAACAGCATAGAAAAATGATAACATTACCTGACCGTCCATCTCTTTGGAAATCCACATGATACCATTCTCCATCATTCACTTTCTTCAACAGGGCTTTTATTTTTATAGTACCTGACCCCATGTCCAGGAGGAGGTAGAGGTGGCCATCTAGCATCTCAATAGCAAAGAAGTCCACCTTTATCATCTGTGGGTGCTTGGCATCTTTTTGATGTCTTGGCTTGCCATGGCTAAATAAGATGAGGCCATTTGGTTCTGTTGTACGGAAATCAAATGATATGGAGCCTGTTTTCTTTGCGTTCCATTTAGGCAAAGAGATGAAAGACTCTGGGGTTTCAAAGGTGATTGGGTCTAAAGTTGCAACATTCTCACATTTAAATGCCACCACTCCATGGATCTTCATCTTAGGATCTCCTTGCTTGGCAAGTCGAGATAATTCCAGCCTCACATCATTATTTTTATACACAACCTGTGGGCAGAGGCAGAGGACAGCAGTGAGAAACCAGCATCCATATTTTAATATCTGAAACTTGTCATCAGCTCATGTAACTTGCAAGGACAGCATAAAAAGGCACACCGCATTTAGTTAATTTTATTGTATAAAGGCAAGATTTTTCAGGCAAATAAAATTCAAGTGTCAATTCATAGAACAATAACCATAACAGTTTAATTCAAATAATGTGTGTGCAGACGCACACATGCATGTGCATATACACACAAACTGCTTGTATTTAACTCAAATAATTAAAAAATCTGCATATATCTTTAATTTCATGTCTACATTAACATGCTAAGACTTGAACTTATAAAAGCTATTTTTTTCATAGTTCTCTATGATGTTTTTAAAATTAAATGTAAGCATTGACGTTATTCAGTTTTCCCATCATTAAAGCATTTGAAATTGGATACCATTGTATACCAGTCCCCTAAAATATTGGATCTCCTCTATTATCTATATATCTGCTGTGGATATTAACTTTGCAAGATAGTCACAATAAGTTAAAGCACAAAACAGCCTGATATTTCTCAGCAAAAAAAAAAAAATATATATATATATATATGTGTGTGTGTGTATGCATATATATATATATATATATATATAAAACAGAAAGTCCCAGACCTGCATCAGTACCTTTGAATACTGTTAAGTAACGTGACACTGCCACATGTAGAATATGGTGCTTCCCCTCAATCTATTCAACCTGTGTTACTGGTGATCCATTTCACTTTTAATTTACACAAATGCTGAGCAAGGGTTGTCTTGCACTCTCATTTTCCAAGGCACTTCAGTGAAAGAGGCCGGGCACTTCTGAGTGCTTGTTGATGGTCCTAAGGCTTTTTGGATTCCAATTAACACATTGGATACATTCACTGACAGGGTTAATGATATCATACTTTTGCTATCCCATCACGTTAATAAATTCAAAGGTATTTTGACATAAAGATAAAGAGAGAAGGACACCTTTTCTCTACAAAAGGCATACAGTGGATAATCATATTTCTAAATTACATAGACCATATTGACTTAAGGGTGAATTAGTAATCTAGGTCCACATAACTATCTAGATTCTTTTAAGAAGGGACTCTATAGATTTCAAAGCTCCCAAAGTTACTAGAATCTAGATTTATTCATTCACATGTAAAAATGTACATATATATATATACATATATATTATGTATACATATACACACATGCATGTTTTGTTTTTCATTTTTAGGAATGGCATGGGTGTTTTATATAATATATATAACAGGAAAAATAAGACAGCCTATATCTAATTAGTGCTATGAAGTCAACCAAGTCAACACAGCAGTTATTCCAAACCCATGGCCAACTGAACCAGCAGATGACTGATGAGTTTCCTGATAGGATTTGTTAATGGATACTTTATTTTTCAGAGTAATTAAGAGTTCATGCTCTGGTATTGGACTTCCTGAGTTCAAATTCTGGCTCCAGATTTACTGAACTGAGAAATCTCTGTAAGCCTGTTTCACTCCCTTAAAGGAAAATAATACTTCACGTAATTATTATTAATATAACAAATAAATAAGAAAATACATATAAGTGGGAAAATCTACATAAAGGCATTCATTCCAATGCCAAGCACACTGTAAGATTTCAATAAATATTAACTACATAAAATACATGATAGTAAAAATCATTGCTTTATCATCATCTAATAGACATAGATTTTAGTTCTAAATTTATCCATGATAAGAAAACGTTTAGAAATTAAGCCCACACATATAATGGGTTTTCATACATTATTTGTGCCAACTAAATAAGTCACATCTTTCCAATGCTGGGCCTGGTGTTTCAGTTTACCTTTATCTTGAAGAAGGATTATAATAAAGAACATGATATCTCTTATTCTTTGAACAAATATGTACAATGGTTTAACAAGCATCTATTGACAACAAAAGAAGAGAGAATGAACTTGAGCAATAACAAAAAGGAATTACATTAATTCTTAAGAATACTTTTTTTGAAAAGAGAAAGATCTATTAAATCTTAGAAACATTTATTTAGGATTGCCTTTCTTTGGCGATCTTTAGAGGCAGGGAAAATGCTTTTCAAGGATGATTTTCCAAATTTTATCGCTTCTCACTGTGACTTTCATGCGACTCAAACCTACATTATTTTTCCTTTTTCCTATTGATTTATATTCTAGTATGTGGGCATTCTTTTGATATAGATATTGATCAAGAATAAGTATTTTCAGACCCAAATGATGCTTCTGTTGATCAATGCTAACACTCATACCTATAATAGAACCACTGTAATAGAATTGAGTGTTTCTGACGTGAACAAGTGGGTTTTATCCCTGGTATATTGTTTCTTGAATCTGACATCAGCCACCATAAAGTTGAAGAATGAGGGGCAGTCTAAGTCTGGGCAAGGATTTCAATGAGACTTAATCTTATAACTGAATCAGGTGTCTTGGTGATGAAAAGGTTCAGGAAGATGTAAAAAAAATAGAAGTAGGGATAATTCCCTGGGTAAAATTTCTTAAGGTTAGCCATACATCTCTCATAAAAAAAAGTATCTCCACCAGCATCAACACTTTATATGCTTTATACTGGCAAGAACCTTGCTCACCACAGCACAGCACCAAGATTAGTAGCTGGCACAGAGTAGATGCTCAATAAATATTTGTTTATAGTTGAATAAAATTCTTCCTTCACCTTTTCAAACCTATTTCCTAGATTATAGGCTTTTGTAAATAATAATATTTAGACCTACAATTAAAATACAGCAGAATATGATATTGCGGACCAATCTCATAAACTAGTTACTATTTTGCCCTATTTCTCGAGGAAAAAGCATAAATTTATGTACATATCCAGTTCATAATTGACAAGCTGGCCCATGCATTGGGAAATTTCATCTTCAAACACATTTTGTGGGGTATAAATTCCTTTTAGAATGAAGAATGCCTGAGTTAAAACTCTCCAGAGGTTTATACACAAAAATATACACTGTGCTTCTCCTCAAGATAGTTCTTGTAGGAAAGAACTATCTCCAGATACAATAACTATGTCTTTCCTACAAGAACTGTCTTGAGGAGAAGCACAGTGTGTATTTTTTTTTCTTCCCATTTTGTACACTTTGAAAGGCTGCTCCAGAAAATGGAAAAGCAATTTTGCATTGGTAGGCCTATGGCTCTCAGATTTATACTACTATTTCATCTGATCCAGATTTTATAATTACCCTACTTTTCTAAAGTTAGACCTACTCTTAAAATGAACTGAATCTAGTTCAATTAGAATAATGAGTAGCTAGTAAGTATTCTAACTCTTCTAAAAATTCATGTGTAAGCTATTTTTGCTTCCTTCTGAAATAATGTGGCACTCGATCATGGGAACACCTTAGAATTATTCATACATCTTTTATTCTTATGTCAAAAGTTGCAATTTATATGTTTCACTTTTGAACACATTTCTATATACTGTATCATCATAACTATTGATGATATTTGTGCATACTCATTTGCATATGTTTAATAGAACCAAGTTTTCTTTGGGGACACTGATTTTTTTTTTTTTTTTTGAAGAGTGATTCAAAATGTTGAATTTTACTTCCCTGCTGCATGGGCTTATTTTCCATTTCCTCAAACATTTGTTAGAATTTTTAAAGTTTCCCTTCCATGTTAATATGCAAGAATAGGGAGTAATATGTTTGTGTCTTCACATTCCTAGAGCTCACCTTTGAGGAAGACAATCACTGAGTATTATCTTTGATCTTAAAGATAATGCTGAAAACATGACAGCAATGCAGAGAAAAAAAAATAACTTAAACAATAGGAGCTTAATCGTCTGCATATTAACTTGGTTCAATCTCAAAGCTATTACTAAGCCAAGTCCCTAACCTCTCTCTGTCTCAGTTTCTTAATTTTGGAAACTGACATCTATAAAGGAAAGGCATACCATATCTATAAATTCTTGAGCTTTTTTACCCTTAATTTGTGTGATTTGGGACAGACATAAAAGATGCTCTATGGTTCCTGCCCCCTTTCTGGCTTTCTCCTGTTGCGATTTTTGATGCCAGGATATTGTTCTCTACTTTCAGATATACTGAAACATGAATCCATTAGTAAAGAGAATGTTCACTGTATCTTCAGGTACACAGACATGCCTCAAGGATTATATCTATCTAAGTTTTGTACAGATGGTGTTGAAGCACTGGTAACTGATAGATAAGGCTCTTTCAACAGAGTGGGAGTATGTGAAATTCAGTGTGAAAATATTTGCCACTCAGATAATGACTTTTTTATATAAATATATGCTTCAGTTTGGAAATTATAATAAGGGTCTTAACTTCATTAACATGCATGGTGAAGACTCTTCATTCCTTAACTATGGTAATATGCAGGATGGTGAAATAAGCACTGAAGTTAGTGTTATTTAGATATTTAGACTTTGTTATGACCCTCCCTGAGAGAACATGAATGGCTCATATTTTAATCTATCTTGGTGTTCTCTTTCATACTTGCAGATAATAAGGAATGAGGCCTAAGAATTTGATTCTCAAGTCAGATTTCAGAGAGAATTCCAGCTCACCCATTTGCAAACCTGTAACCTTGTGCAAGTTCCTCAACCTTGCCAAGTCATAGTGTTTTATTCGTAAAGGACAATGATATCTACCACATTAGGGTTACTGTAAATAATAAATTATATTTTAGTTAAAGTGCTAATAATGGGTCCTAGCATGGAGTAAGTGCTCAAGTAAATATTCACTGTTTTTATTAATATTATAAATAACATTTCTTATTCTTACATTGAATTGATGGAGCTACACAATTTAATTGTCATAACAAAGGCAACAGCTAAGAAGGTAGACAGTAGTTGATTGCTCTCATATTTAAGGGAATTAAATAGTGCTGAGATCAGCAGGATCAAAGGTACTCAGCAGATTGGGACTTCCTTTTTCATGCTGATATTTACATTGCAGTTGGATGTACACAACAG